AACTCTGCTTTTCAAATAAATAAAAATAAATCTTTATAAAAATGCAATGACACAAATACATTGAAGATCAAAGAATGGTAAAAGATATTCTGTGCAATAATAATCTATTTAAAGAGATCAAGTATAGCTGTAACTACCAGAAAAAGACACCTCAAGTTAAAAAAAGTCACAAGAGACAAAACAGGACATTCTCTAGTACTGATGGTTTCATAAACAAGAACTTACAAGTGCTATAAATATCAACACAACTAACCACAGATAATCAAAATACACTCTTAAAGTAAAAATTGATAAAATTGAAGGGAGAAATAAAAGTTGTATAATAATAGATAACTTTTTTATTTTTTTTAAAGATTTATTTATTTTTATTTGAAAAGCAGAGTTACAGATGGAGAAGGAGAGAAAGAGAAACAGCTCTTCCATCTGCTGGTTAATTCCTCAAAGGGCCACAAGGGTAGGGGCTAGGCTGGTCTGAAGCCAGAAGCCAGGAGCTCATCCAGACCTCCCACATGAGTGCAATGGTCCAAGGATTGTGCCTATTTGGAATGCCTGTGCCATAGACCCCTGCACAACTTCTATTACCACACATAATAATGGGTAACAGTAAGAAAATGGAGAACTCAACACAAAAACTCAACTAGACTTCACATGCACTGAATATTCTCTTCTAACAATACATACATTCTCCCCAAGTATATTTGAGACATTTTCCAGGACAGTCTACAGAAAAGCTCACACATTAAAACTAAATAGACATAAAAAGAAAGATATCATTAAAAAGTATCTTTTCCAACTACAACAGGATGAAGTTAGAAATCAAAAACACAACAACTAGAAAATTTTTAAATTTGCACAAATTAGCAAATTGATAGAACAACCAATAAATTAAAGAAAAAATCAAATGGAATATTAGGAGACACATGTGGTTGAGAATGAAAATACAACATGTCAAATTTGGGATTCAAAAATTAAAGGAAGGAATTTATAGCTATAAACCTTTTTCCAGACTTTCTGTTGAATTAATGTGTTTCAATAAGTGGAATTATTTATCACTATTTAAAATAGATCTAATTCTTCCCTGTATATGTAATATATGGAGCTATAAGCATTTCAATGTTGAATTTATTTCTAAATGTTCATTATCTCATGGTGTCCAAGTGACACTGCATATATTCCACAAAATTTTGCCTTGCACTAACATTAGGAAAACACTTTAATAATATTACTGGGGCCCGGCGCGGTGGCGCAGTGGCACAGTGGTTAAGGTCCTCGCCTTGTATGCCTGGGATCCCATATGGGCGCCGGTTCTATCCCAGCAGCCCCACTTCCCTTCCAGCTCCCTGCCTGTGGCCAAGGAAGGCAGTCGAGGGCATCGGCCGTTGTGCTCACTTGGGGAGTGAATCATCGGACGGAAGATCTTCCTCTCTGTTTCTCCTCTCTGTATATCTGCCTTTCCAATAAAAAAATAATAAAAATAAACCTTTTTAAAAAATAATATTACTGAAGTAATTAGTAATTGTAGTTTGGACTAAAAATTATGCAGAAGGAGCAAGCTTATAATAAAGAACCATTATCACTCTGAGCCTACTCTCATGGTTCAAACACATGAAACTTTAAAGAAAATTCATTCTTTACTAATTCTATGGCTCACATATTCCCTTGAAAGAAAAATTTAAAAAAAAAGTAGTCTTACAATAAAAATTGTTCTGAGTAAAAGAATCTGAGTATAACCAAAATCTAGAATTAGTCTGTTTTTCTAATCAGAACTGTAAGAAACAGTATTTTTGGTTTAAAATAAGGATATATTATTTAAAAATTAAATTTCATGCTTCTAAACAAATTATTTCAAACCAACAAACAATATTTTAAAATTAAGAAACTAGAAAAGATAAACCAGACTAAACCAAAAGTTAGCATAAGGAAGAAATAAAAGAGATTAGAGCAGAGATAAATGAGAATGGGCTATAAAAACAATATATAAAATCATTGAAACTAAAATTTGATTCTCCAAAAAGATTAACAAAGTCAATAAACATTTCGTTGGATTAGGAAGACAGAGAGAAGAATCAGGTTGCCGTAATAAAAGATGAAAATGAGAACTTGCTACTTATTCTGATAAAATAAAAAGGATTATTAAGAGAGTTTTATAAGAATAGGATGCCAACAAGTTGGGTAATGTGGATGAAATGTACCAATTTGTGGAAAGACCTATAATACTTACCATAAACAAATTACATAGAAATGAATCATCTGAACAGACTTACAATTAGTAAGAAGATTGAACTTGCAATAAAAAATCTTACAAAAAAAAAAAAAAAAAAAGCCCTGGACTGAATGGCTTCACATTTAAAAAAAAATAGCCATTCTTTCCAAACTTCTCAAGATTAGAGTGGGGGACACTTCTGAACTCATTCAATTGTATCAGTATTACCTTCATGTCAAAGGCAGGTAAAGGCATTACAAGAAAAGAAAACACAGAAACTGTATTATTAATATTGCTGCAAAAACCTTCAGCTAAAAGCTAGTGGCCAAATTCAGAAGCATAGTGACAAGATTATAAATCACAGCTAAGTAGATTTACTTCTAAAATGCAAGGATGGCTCAACACACAAAACTGGTCAACATAATACACTATATTAACAGAATAAAAAAATCACAGGATTATCTCAACTGATGCAAAAACCACGCACATAAAAATCAGTAGCATTTATATAAACTAATAATGAATGAATATGAAAATTTTAAAAATTTGTGAAAAATAACATAAAAGAATAAAATACTTAAGAAAATATTTTAAGAATATTAACCAAGGAGGCGAAAGAGCTGTACAATGAAAATAACAAAGTGATGCTGAAAGAAATTACATAAATAAATTTAAACACATACGATGCTCACAAACTGAAAAATTTAGTTACATTCAGATGTCAAAACTGCCAAAAGTGACCTACATATTCAATTCAATCCATATCAAACAACACTTTTTTATAGAACTTTTAAGACACATCTTAAAATTCATCCAGAATTTGAAAGGGTGCCATATCCTCAACATGATCTTGATAACGAACAGCAAAGCAGCAACAAACATTCTTTCAGAGTTTAAAAGCCACTATATAGCCACAGTAACCAAAACATTGTAAGATTAGTATTAAGACAAATATAAAGACTGATATTCACATTCAAAAGAATGAAGTTAGATCCTTATACCATATACAAAAATTAATTTTCCTCAATGAAAGTGTTAAAACCATAAAAATTGTGACCGTGGATTGTCAACGATTTCTTCACTATGACATCAAAAGCACAGGTAACTAACAAAAGTTAAACTAGAATTCATAATTTTTTTTGAGTATCAAAAGGGAATATCAACAGAGTAAAAAATTACCCAATAAGTGGGAGAAAACATTTGCAAGTTATTTATCAGGTAAGTGATTAATTTCTTGAATATATAAATAAATATGAAACCTCAACAAGAAAATACAAAATATAAAAATATAGCTGCATCAAAAAAAAAGAAAGAAAAAAAGAACAAAGAGGGCCTGGCACAGTAGACTAAGCAGCTAAAGCACTCACACACTCTGGGATTCCATATGGGCACTGGTTCTGATCCCGGCAGCCCCACTTCCCATCCAGCTCCCTGCTGCTTGTGGCCTGGGAAGGCAGTTGAGAACGGCCCAAAGCCTTGGGACTCTGCACCTGCATGGGAAACCTGGAAGAGGTTCCAGGCTCCTATCTGCGGATTGGCTCATTTCCGGCCGTTGCGGCCACGTGGGGAATGAATCAATGGATGGAAGATCTTCCTCTGTCTCTTCTCCTCTATATGTATCTGACTTTGCAATAAAAATAAATAAAACTTCTTTTAAAATGAGCAAAGGACTTGAGATGTTTCTCCACAGATGACATGTAAAGGGTGAATAAACATATGATCTACATGAGTGACACTGACATCTGGGATGGGATCATTTTTATAGCCTTCGTCTACACTCCAGAGGAACAGCAGCTGGGTTTTTTTTTCTACTTGCTGTGTGTTGATATCCTTACCCAACAAGTGTTGAGCCTGAAATAGCAAAGTGAAATAAAAATATGTAATCGTAAAAATTTGGGAAAAATTAAGGAAGCATCCTTAACATCAACATCATTCATCTTCAGGGTAATGAGTATCAAAACTAAAATGGATAAAGTAAAACCGCTGTATAATGTTGGTGGGATGTAAACCATTATAACCACTTTAGGAGAAGAGTGCAAAAATATTAGAATATTTAGAATATTTAGAATAGAATGACTACATAATCTAGCACTTCCGCTTCTGTGTTTTCTCAAAAGAATTAAAACCTGTGTCTGCACATTACATGATTTTATGGTTACAGCATCCTCGCAATAGTCAAAATGCAGAAGCATCCCAAATTTTTATCACTGAAAACAAGCATAGCAAGATATGGTGTGTACATATAATAGAATATTATTCTGCCTTAAAATGTTTTTAAAATTCTAATACATGCCAAGGTATATATGAAACTTGAGGACATTATGTTATAAACCAAATAGGACAATGTACTTATGATTCCAGTTACATGAGATACTTAAAATACTAAAAATCATAAAGACAGGCACAGATGCCAAGAGTAGAAGAGGAAAAAGAAATGGATAACTTATGGAGCTGATTAGTGATGAATGCCTAACATAATTAATGTGTTTAATGCCACAAAACTTGGTAAATTTTGTGTTATTTGTGTTTTGCCATAATAAAAAAAAACTAGAAAGAAATACATATGCATAATTTATACTAACTAGAATCTATTGAAGTTTTGAATTGCTCAAAAAGTATGAAAGATTATCATGTTAAATCAAAAGGTATTATTAAGAAAGTTTTAACATGTCAGTGTATCAAAAATCTTAAGCTAGTTATATTCTTATAAACTTTGCAAAAATTATTTTGTCTTATGAAATGGAAAGAAAGCATACAGACAGTATAATATTTAAATAAAGTAGATTGGGGATAATACCTTGGAGGCGCGAATTTGCCTGTGAATGTCTGTTAGTTGTTGGATTTTGTATTCTAGCTCTGAAATCTGAGCTTGAAGCCAAGTCCATCGGCTGCCAACTCTTGCTCTGTCCACAAGCCACTTCCATTCAGGACTACAGTGACTGTGAAGAAGACAAAACACTGTTAGTAAAGGCACAAGACCGTTTTATAACTTTCTTTACTCATATCGTAAAACACAAATAAAAAAAAGACATATAATTACATGACACTAGTAGACTAACTTCTCATTCAAAAGAAACTAATTTCATTTCTTCCACCCAGCAAATACCTGTTTTTGTGCACTATTACATATTGAATTGATAGTACAATACCTCTTCTGTTTAAAACTTTATTAATACCTGTTTAACTAAGGAGGGACCAGTAAAGAAAAAAACAAAAGCAATGACAGTAAAATGCCATGTAAAAACTGTTGCAGAAGGCTTTTTAAAATGTAAGTATTGGGCTTGCTGTTAGGACACTTAATGTAATCTTCATTTGCTAAAACAGGCATAATTAAAAACTTAAAACCAAATTAAAGAAACTGTCAAAAATATGAATGCTCTACTGCATTACAGATAAGCAGGCAGCTACATAGGACTTAAAATGTTTACTAAGATAAATCCATTCCCAGGATTCACATCTCAGTGATCACAAAGTATTTGCATAAGCCTTTCTTTCATATGTATCAGACAGTAAGGGATGAATCCAATACCTCTCCATGTTCCTCTTTCAACAGGAGCACTGCTCTGACCCATAGTCTGTGGGACCATGAACCAATTACTTTGAGATAGTCCAACTACTCCAGCTAGAGAACAAACTATTTTAGATTTTGTGTGTGTGTGTGCATGTGTCCATATGAGAGAGAGAATTAATCAGTAGATGCAAATTACCAAATGAGAAAATGACAGAAATCGGAAACGTAACTGGAGAGCAAAACTTAATGAAAAAGAAATGGACCTTAAAAATGTGTAAAAAATGCATGTATTGTCAAAATCCATAGACTATATAACACGAACTGCAAACCCCAATGTAAATTATGGACTATAGGTGGTAATGATGATTCAATGAGCCTCATCAAGTGTAACAAATACACTATCCTAATGTGGGGTGTTGCTAGTGGCAGATGGTGTGTACTTGGGGGGATCAGGGTGTACGAGTACATCCTGAACTTTCCACTCACTCTTTCTGCGAACCTAATGTTTATTAATTTGAAAAACACATTTAACCAGAATGAACTCTAGCAAGGAAAAATGTTCTTTGAGATTGCTGTCAAAGAAACAGAAAACAATTATGGAAACAATAGAATGTGGTCATCTTAACAGGATTTTATATTTGCAAAAGGCTATCTTTAATTTTTTATTAACAATATTTTATGAAAATATTTTTAATGTGTTTGAAACTTTAAGAGAGGGAAGAAGGAGAGAGGAGACAGGAAGGGAGCAAGAAATGAAAGGAAGGTGACAGAGAGAACGGGATGAAGGCAGTGAAAAAGGGATACATGGAGAAAGTATTACTACCACTGGTTCCCACCCCTTTCCATAAACCCCCAATGCCAGCACTGTGCGGCTTCGATCAGAGCTGAAGCTGGTAGCTGGAAATCCAACCAAGGTCTTGCACATAAATGGCAGGAACACGACCACATGAGTGATCTTAGCTGCTTCTGTGGCTCTGCACTGTCTAGCAGGGGAAGTGGCCTGATCTCTAACTGAGGTACACCAACATCACACAGGAGTCTTAACTGCTAGGCTAAATGCCTGACCTCAAAATGCTGTTTTTTCTAAAAATTTAATTGCAAGTAATGTATTTGGAGATTCCATATAAGCTGATATGCTGTTAGTGTTATTAACTATTTCATTTACAGTAATTACCTTCATCTTGTAAACTTGACATTAAAAAAAATCACATTTTCATTAACATAGAAAAAAATAAGAGAATACCTATTCACAATAAACTATTTTAGATAGTAACAACACTAAATACTAATTGTGAAATCAGAGTGGAGGAGAAGGGCCACACAATGTAGCACCTTGCATAGCTGATAGTGAAATGTTTGAATTTTAATTCAAAAATGAAAACCACTGACTAAGCAGTATGTGAAATTTCTTTCCAGGCACTCTGGATATTAGTATTCCAGTGGAAAATGAGAAGAAATAAGCAAACCAAAAAAATTTAACTAATAATCTGAAGATGGTACAATGCAGGTAATAGTGGTCTCCAAATATTACATGTGCTGTTCAATATTCCCTAGATTTTATTGCACTGAGGCTGGCGGTGTGTGACTGGTTCTGATTACTGGAGCAGAAAAAAAAAACCTATTGTCTTAGAGGACCTTCAAAACTACTACTGCTGGTAACTTAAGAGGACCACAGTGAATTTCATGGAAGCCAGAGGAGACATCTACTGTGTCAAGTCATCAACACTCTGACAGCTTATATTGAATAAGTCAATGAAGCGAAAAAGGGCTTGGACTGGAAAAGGGGTGATGCTAAGAAAAAAAGGTAGAAAAAGAATGGATCCAAAGTTCATTTAAAGTAGGCATTACTTGAGAAGTGTGGTAGAAATCAAATATGATCTTCTACATTCTTTCAATGAGTTTTGCTCCATACAAAATTTCCTTATAAACTGCAATTCGGGTTAGCTATCAAATTGATGATAACCTAATAAATGTAAAAGAGAAAAAAGAACATGTTCATGGAGCACATAGCATTCATATCAGATATTCTGAAACTGAAGTTTATAAAAATCTTGTTTATATCTCTTTATTCAATTATACTAACATGAACTAAATTATGCAGAGGTTTTGTGATGTGTAAAGTGAATTTCCTGCAAAGGATTACTTATTAAACATTTTAATGGAAGTGAATTGAAATGTTTGATAGAATTAACAATGATATGCAAGTTTCCCTACTAACAATGTTCCCTTGCTTGAAGAAACTTTTTTTTCCGAAATAATTAAGGTTGTAAACATGTTAGAGCTATACCTATGGCGAACTTGCTCAAAGCAGATCAACACTGTTTAACATCTTAAGTTAAAGCATGAATTATGTAAACAACGTATGTAACCAATGATGTAATGGCTTAAGTAACTTTTAGTGCAACAAATCCGGACATAGCTGATGTAACGACTGAGCCTGTTAGGACCGTGAGGCATACCAAGAGTGCCCAGATTCCCCAGATTCCTGGCCTGTCCAACCACTGAAGATACTCATTCCATGCCTCTTTGTACAGTGTGTTAAACAGACCACAAACCAGAGACCACCATGTGTTGACCATAAAGTGGGGGTGAGACCTCTAGAAAAGATCAAGTGACTTTGAGAGGAGACCACCTGGACAGTAAGAGAAACCAGTCAATTCCCCCAGAGAGATAGCATATGCCTTTGATCCCCATCCTTGTAGGCAGGCAGTCACCACTTAATTTGATGCAGGAAGTAAGTACAAACTGTTTGATTTTGTATGCAGTTTCTCTTGGTATTGTCTGTTGACATAAAGTTAGATTTCTGTTCTAAATAAAAGGGTAGGTATTCAGAATAAGACAGAACTTTCATATTACAACTTACATTATCAAGACTGAAAGACACATGTATAATTTCTTTTTGACCTTAACAAAGACTTTGTCAGCTCGTTGATACAATAATTAATTGTAACTGAAAACCAAAAGAAAAGATCTAGTTTGTGAAAAACACCAACTCTAATAATAATAATAATAATAATAAAACTTGCTCAGATGAAAAAATTTGAAGCAACCATCTCCAGTGGTATTTTCTCACCTGGAAGAATTTATCCTTGCCTCAAATCAGGCTACTGTAGACCAGGAGCCAAGAAACTTCTTTACGGAGGCAGTAAATATTTCAGGCATTGCAAACCACATGTTCTCTTTAACAACTGCCATAGAATGGGGGTAGCCATGTATGATACAAAAATGAACAGATGTAACTGTATTCCAATATTTACAAACGTAAAAACATTTTGTGACCAGATTTGATCCACGAGCCAGAGCTTTCCTATCTGATGTAGAGCATTATTTCACAAGCATCTCATGCTTTCCAAGAGGTATAAAACATCCTTTGATAAAAAATGCTTGTTCCGATATTTGGCCCATATTTAATTGGGTTATCCTACTATTTTGACAGTTGTATATCAGAGTGCATGTATCAGAACCACTTTGAGTCCACAGCTTGTCTTTTATGATTGTTCTTTTGAAGCCTTTTGAGAAGCAAATGACTCAAATTTTGATGACACTCAAATATCAAACTGCCCCTTTTTGGTTAATACCTTTCACATATTAAGAAATCTTTCCTAGGGCCCAACATGGTAGTCTAGTGGTTCAAGTCCTCATCTTGCACACGCTGGGATCCCATATGGGTGCCAGTTCTAATCCGGGTATCTCCACTTCCCATCCAATTCCCTGCTTGTGGCCTGGGAAAGTAAAGGACAGCCCAAAGCTTTGGGACCCTGCACCCGCACAGGAGACCTGGAAGGAGCTCTGGCTCCTGGCTTTGGATCCACCCAACTCTGGCTGTTATGGCCTCTTGGGGAGTGAGTCAATGGATGGAAGATCTTCCTCTCTGTCTCTCCTCCTCTTTGTCTATCTCACTTTTCAATAAAAGAAATCCTTAAAAGAAAAAAAAAATCTTTCCTAATAAAGGTCATATATCTCCATTCTTTATGTGATCATCACAAAATTATTATAAAGTAATTAAACACTACAGGCTCAAACACGTAAATAGAAGTTTTATTATGGCCTCCATGATGGCATGAACCCATGTACTTGAACCATCATCTTTTACTGCCTCCCCAAGAACACTAGTAGGGAGTATATCAGAATTGGAGCAACCAAAACCCAAAAGATGCTCTGCTATGGGATCACCAGCAAAAGCTTAATCCACTGCACCCTAACATCAGCCCCATAATGTAGTTTTGTTTTTTGCTAGACTCTATTTGCTATTTCATTAAGGATTTTTATGCATTTATAATTTAATGAAATACAAATATATTTTATTGTAGCATATGTCTAGCTCTGAGATAAGCTAATGCTGACCACAGAAAATTAATTTGTATCTCCTCCTATTGTTTGTGAAAGAATTCATGTATGATTGTAATTATCTATCATTTTAGTTCCTAT